GTATGCTCACCAGAGTCTTTCCCCCCCCCCCCGGTCTCCTTTGCAGAGATTTATCGCATCGTGTCCCAGAAGCAGATTGCGGACCGGTCTGCCCACGACGAGTCTCCGGGGAACAACGTGGTGGACATCAGCGTGCCTCCCACCACCGACGGACAGAAATCCAGTAAACTCCAGTGCTGCCAGAACCTGTGACCTCCTTCGGCCGCTGCTGCCCGCCCTCCTCCTCCTCCTCCTCCTCGGTCTGCCCTTCGGCCGGAGACACACGTGCGCACTTCCTGGGGCCCCGCCCTCTTTCCTCCCTTCCGTTTTAGGGCGTCCTCAAGAGGGCTGACCTGCCCTTCCCCGGGACTGGGGCTGAATGTAATGCTGGGGGGGAGGGGAGGGGATGGGGGGGCTTTGAAATGCCACATGGAGCCAGGCAACCTTTTCTCATGTGTGCGGGCGTGCTCACGCGTGCCTCATGTGGAAGAACGGAAAGGATGCGTGCTTAAGGGACCTAAAGGGAGCGTTGTGCGGGCGTTATTTTATTTTATTTTATTTGGGGGGGGGAGATTGCCATTCAGGCTGCTTTGCAGGCAGGAAAGTCAAGGCAAGGCAAGCACTTTGCGGGCGGCCTTGTGTCTTGTTGGTGTGTGCAAACCCCTGCACACTCACACCTGGAAACGCATTGCTGGCTCTGGGACCCGGTCACCTTCCCCCCCCCCTCTCTCTCTTCCTCTCTCTCTTCCTCTCTCTCATGTGCGTTCTCTTTCTTTCTTTCTTTCTTTCTTTCTTTCTTTCTTTCTTTCTTTCTTTCTTTCTTTCTTTCTTTCTTTCTTTCTTTCTTTCTTTCTTTCTTTGGTGTAGCTTTCCTCATTTTCTCTCTCCCCTCCCCCCTGCTTCCACTTTGGGGCCCGTGAAGTGTGTCTGTGCGTGGTGGTCTCGGCCTTCACCCCAGCCGCCACCAGAGCCTTGCGCCCCCCCCTCCCCAGAATTGGCTCCGATAGGTCGCCCTGGCATGACACTAAGCAATTTCATACATGAAGGGCCAAGCTGACCCAGGCTTCCTTGGGCCCCTTTTCACGGTAGGAATGCTTCCTCCTGAACCTCTTGAGATTCCACCCCTGCATGTCGCTTTCTTCTTCTCCAGCTAGTCCCTGCCCCTCCCTCCCCCCTCCCTGCGGACTGAGTGTGTGAAGCAATATTTTTCATGCCCTGGACATAACTTGCACTGGGAAAGGTTGTTCGGAGGAATCGTGGTAGAGAATCAAATACTTGATAGCTCCCTTCTTTTTGAACGATAGTTGAGCATCTTAGAATTTGTATTACCTCCTCTGAGTCCCTTGCTGTTTTTTCCTTCTCCTCCTAATACACGGGCCTCTCTGTTCAACCCCCCCCCTTTCTCTCTGTCTCTCTCTCTCTCTCTCTCTCTCTGTCTCTCTTTGTCTGTCTGTCTTTCTCTCTGTCTGTCTGTCTGTCTCTCTCTCTCTGTCTCTATCTATCTCTCTGTCTCTCTTTCTGCCTGTCTCTCTCTCTCTCTGTGTCTGTCTACCTCTCTCTGTCTCTGTCTGTCT